CATTGACGACGGATCCCCGCTCCACTGGCTTGTCGCCACAACTTGCTGGCCAACTTCGCTCGTCTCTTCTGACCATTTTCGGTTTCAGCACTTGTCGATGGTTCTGCAACTTGCTAAGAACGGTTCGACAACAGACAACACACGACACAAGCAAGTGCCCTCGGTCACCCGACAGAACACCAGACAAAGTATAGTACAACATATACCTATCTACGTGTTTATCGGAATTTTGTTCCCTCTACATCAAGAGGCACATGTGGGACAAAAGACCCCTAAAATGACAACTCAATTTTTTTTCCCACGTACAACAACGTAACGGATTAGAATACCACATAAAGTTGGCCCCTTGAGATCACTCTGAACGAGAGCGCTCAGCCCAGGTCGTGATGAGGTCAAATTTTGCCCCGAATCGCCAGCCAGAAACCGAAAGGTTGAGAAGGTACTAACTAAACGCACTGCTCAATGCACCTGCATTAACGTTTACCTTTCCTTTTTTTTTTCTTTAGCGAACGTCAAAGTTGCGCTGTGGAGCAACATGCTCCACTTCAGTAACCGGCCACTTTTAGGCGACGATACCTATGCGGCACCAAGAGCGGCTCACACTTGCGACGTTGCACAGGGGAACAACGATACGGCTTGCTACTGATTGACTCCTCACCGCCTTAGCTCGATATCGTGTTCGATCACCCTCATGTTTCCGGGGCGGTCCGAAAACACGTCTTCAAACTCGGAACCAATCTTTCTCAGGTCCTCTTTCTCAGGTCCTCCTTCACTTAAGCTAGGCTCTAGGTTTATCTGCTCCCAAATTACTTTCGATCCCCCTTCGATCACCTCACTAGAACTCAAATTTTCTGCTCCCTCTTCCTCTGAAGCCTTCAACAGCTGATTACGACCGCTTGATGTTGAACATTGGGTTTCATCAAGTTGTAAATTTTGTGCTGCCGCCTTCCTACTTGCACCTCATAATTTGTATCGCAAGGCTTCGATAATACTTTGGCGGGCCCTTCCCAATCAACCTCAAGCTTGTTCCTTTTTGGTGGCTGCAGCCGCATTACCTGATTATCAACTTCAAAAGCGCGCTTCTTCCCCGATTTCTCGTAGTGCTCCTTCGACAGCACTTTTGCCGCGTTTTTCTGGCTTTCCACGAGCGCTTCAATTTGGCTTTCCACTAGCGCTTCAATCGAGAGACCCTCACTCTGCCCTCGAATGAGCGTCTCTCGACCAACTCTCGGCAGCTCGCTCCAACTTTCCGCTACAGGCGAGAGCGTTGCATCCCTCTCGCTCTGACTCAAAGGCGCCACGTCGTCTCCCCCAGCGCATACCGCGCCGGCCGCTCCCGCGACGGGCCGCTCGCGTGACTGCTCACATCACTCATGCGGAAAATTTCCTTTCTGGGGTTCCGTCGACCCGCCGACAAGGTCACTTGAGAGTTCACCGCATGGAACCAAGCCAAGCTTCCGCGAAAGCTTTCGCGCTTGCGATCGCGTGGGAGCCATGCACGCTAAGTTGGGGAAGAACGATTTGCCCTGCTCTTTGAGAAGCTGCTCCGAGTTGTTGGAGAAAAGATAAGAAAAACGACCGTTCAGCGCGGCAGACACAGCTGCTTCGGTGCAAAGCTTACCGAACGGGCCTTCAATGACAACGGTGGCGATTGGTAAGCGAACACTCTGCTCCTCGGCGACCTGCCTGATCCACGCGCATTCTCCTGTGAAGTCATCCGGAGACACCAATGAAGGATGGACAACGTCCATGGTTGCCGCTGAGTCTCTAAGTGCTCGGCACGTTTTCTTATTCACCCTAATTTCTTGGAGATACGGCTCCAACAACCGAATGTTTTTCTCTGATTCTCGGATCGTTGCGAAGGCAAACTTTTCCTGACAGTTTCTCGCGATGTGCCCTTCCTTTTTACAGTTGTAGCAGATTAGCGGCTTCCGTTTGTTTTCCGATTCAAATGCCTGTGTGGTAGAAACCTCACTCGATTTCTCCGCTTCTGCTTGCCCTTCCCCTACACTGTCCTTAGTAAGAGATGGGTCCTTTTTGAAATTACTGTGCGGAACGGGTTTCCGTTGATCAGGTTTCCTTGAAAAGCTCTCTTTTCTCTCATCCTTTTCAACGCGCACTGCCCTGCTATGCAACTTTCGGCGAGTATAATACTCCTCAGCTAACTCAGCTGCCTTATTTAACTGTACTTCCCCAAGTCTGTCCTGCAGCCAAAGTTTGACATCCTCCTCGATGCAGCGGTAGAATTGCTCCAATGCAACGCATTCCACCACTTTATCGCGGTCGTCATAAACACCTTCGCCCTTGAGCCATTCAATCAAATCGGCTTTTAAGACGAAACGCGAAGTCAACGTGTGACTCATTCCCCTTTTCAGCATACCGGAACCTTTGCCTGAAAGCCTCGGGTGACAACTTATAACGTCTCAAGAGCACTTCCTTAACCTCGTCATAGCTCTCAAACGCTTCCCTCGACAAGCAAGTTATCGCGTCGGACACTTCGCCGGGAAGAAGAGCTAGCAGGTTCCGCGCCCCAAAGAGACTGCTCCAAAGCATTTCGCTCACAGACGTGTTCAAACTTGACGAGATACTTCGCCATGTCCTCGCCCACTACGAACGGTGGCAGTTGATCCCGAATTCTAATACCGCTGACCTGAATCGTCGGAGAAGCTGCGCTAGGCGCCTGCGAACACTGTAGGATTGCCAATTCTATTCGTTTCATCTCGAGGCGCTCCTGTCTCTCGGCCTCCTCGCGACGTTCGCGCCTTTCAGCTTCTTCGCGTTCGCGAGCTTCTCGCCTTTCTTCACGTTCGCGAGCTTCGCGCCTTTCTTCACTTTCGCGAGCTTCGCGCCTTTCTTCACGTTCGCGAGCTTCGCGCCTTTCAGCCTCTTCACGAGCTTCTCGCCTTTCAGCCTCCTCACGTTCGCGAGCTTCTACTTCTCGCCTTTCAGCCTCCTCACGGCGTGCTTTAATATCCACCCAGGCCTCATCGACTTCCTCAGCCGACACTCCCTCATCCTTCATGATCTCAAGGATCGCTTGCTTTCGTTTCGCACGGCCCAAAGTAATGCCGAGTTCCTCACAAATTTCGATGAGTTCCTTCACTTTAAGGTTCTCCATCGTTCACACTAGCCTCTTGCTGTTTGCCCCTGTTAACAATTTACTTGCCGTACCCACTATAAGTCAACTAGCAAGACGCGCAAGCAACTTTTCACTCTCCCGTGTTTACCCCCTCCGCATTAACTTTGGTTTCAAAGCACTTCGACTTTGCTTGAAACGATCAAAGCTCACTCTAATGCTTCACACAGCCCTTCTCTAAACTACTACAACCTGAGCTAGAGTAGTCTGGTGAACTGAGGGGAAAACATCAGGCACTCACCGCATCGATGTCGCTGACGCCGGCCGATCCCGCAGCTGCCAACCACTGTTGCGAACGATGGCCCGATCCCGCAGCTGCCAACCACTGTTGCGAAAGATGGCCCGATCCCGCCGAAGCCACCACTGTTGCGAAAGACGGCGACGCCGACGCGGTCCCGGAGGCGCCACTGCTTTCGACCCCGCCGGGAAGGTCACCAGCCGTTTGGTAGCGTATGTTTCTCAGCTCGCGACTGCTTCTGCGCAGAGCTGAGGAGACGAGCGGACGAGACGACGGTGAGTTAAACAAGGTTTATGTACAGCATATATACAGAGGCGTTACAATTTCGGCACTGGGGCCGGCAGAGACTCGAAGAGCCGAGCTCCTCTCTCTAACACATAGGTCAGCCTTTCGCCTAAAACCGCTGATCGCGACACGCCGCAGGGCTTCTTTTATTTACACCGGGCCCAACTAAAATGTCCAATCAGAAGCGCCGCTGGTCTTCAGAGCAGGCTCCTCCAATGGGGTTCGCCGCGCGATGCGTCAGGCCACCAGACATGAGGACGCCGGCTCGCTGTCACGTGCGACGCTGACTCAATGCACGTGGGCCACAGATGCGCCGCGCGTGTTCACGCCGTGGAGCTGTTCGCGCCCGGCGGGCTGCGGGCTGGCCTTGACCCAGATTGCCTGTTTCAGAGGCACGGACGTTTGACGAGGACTCGCTGGCATAACACCTCTCTAACACATAGGTCTGCTCTCCAATGGGTCCGCTCTGACACACATGTCAGCTTTCACCTAGGACCGCCGATCGCGACGCGCCACAGGGCTTCTTTTATATGCACCGGGTCCAACTCAAATGTCCAACCAGAAGCGCCGCTGGTCGTCAAGCAGCCGAGTACCTTAGGCACTACACCGCCGCGGCGAAACAGCATTGGATTTTAGACTTCTTCAAACAGCCGTGATGATAAATACTTGTGCAATTAAGGGCCGTCTTTGGAGCCAACGTTTCTAGAAGTTTCTAGTCTTGTCTCCTGTTGACAGTGGCGGATCCAGAGGGGGACGGGGGGTAGGAGGATATCCCCCTTTCCCTCAAAGCCTCCGTCAGCACTTCCACACACCTACCTGCGGATGTTTGTCGTTCACCTTCTATCACCGATTAGGACCAATAAAAGGTACCACTGCAAGCAGAAGAGTAATTATGCTGCAATGAGGTTATTGTCATGATAGTAAGTAATGAAAAACAAAATAGTAACGTACCCCCTCCTCCCCCTTCTCCGCATTTTCGGTGTTGCTTCAAGCGACCGTCTTTTCGCCTTCTAGCGAAATGAGTCGCCGTACACGCCCTTGTCTGTCGCTGTTTTGAATATGACAAGACTAGAAAACGATGGCTCCAGAGAAAACTCTTGTCTGATAGATTTTTGATTTATTCAAGCCTGCGTGTGCTTGGAACCTTGTTTAGATACATGCAGCCGTGACACACACGAACACGTCATATATAATTGCAAACTCGCACCACTATGGCTGGCGTTCTTGAGCCATAACAAACCACTGCGAGAAAAAAAAAAGTCAGGCATTCAATCGATCAATCAGTCAGTCATACCGATACGTGCTGCAGGCCGTATGAACGGAAGCCTCGGACGCCAGGCACGATGCCCGACAACGGTGACCAGCAACTCCTGCTCATCGACACCGATCCGGGCGTGGACGATGTGCTCGCCATCATGTTAGCCCTGTCAAGCCCGTGAGTACATGCGGTCCCTGCCATAAAGCTTCCTGCAGATAAAAAAAAAGGGGGTGGGCGGGGAGGCACACTTAACTCAAGTTGTTTTCTCTACACTTGTTTCCGACAGCATTAGCATATTCGAGGTGGGATGTTGACTATAGCGTGAAGAGCCTATATATAGCCGACGCTCACCATCATCTAGCCAAGCCTGGTCCACTTTCTGCCAATAATAAGTAAGCATTAGGTAACAAAGCAATCGACTGGAAACTTCAATGTAGCTTGATGCGCGTTTCTTCCTCTGCAGCTCGTTACGTCTTGTAAGTCTCATCAATGATTGCATAATTTCACCAAGTGTGCAGGAGACCCTTGTTTGCACTGCCAAACGTTTTTTTCTCCTTTTTGCCACCAATAAGTGCACAGGAGTGCGCAAAAAGGCTGGACAGAGGGCATAGTATGTGGGCGGTTATCATATTTTGTGGGCACAGCGGTGACGCTGCCATAGCCCGTAAGCAAACTAATTAGACCAAGCTGCTGGTATTCAAGGTGACGCTCACGTCCGATTGCTACACTCGTCAAACGCTCCCTTCGAAGGTGCAAAGTGCTGGCCATCACGTGCGTGTCCGGGAATGTGGAACTGCCCCACGTCTACACCAACGTCCTGCGGATACTCAACTACTGCGGCAAGCTCGAGGTGTGTGAACGAAAAGATTTAAATAATAATAATAATAATAATAATAATAATAATAATAATAATAATAATAATAATAATAATAATAATAATAATAATAATAATAATAATTCCAGCCATTGACACTCCATGAAAACCATCAGAGAGCGAATCTGCAAACGCGCCAGTATATGTAATCAACTAGTGAGATTATGTGCATCAACACGACGAGGAATCATAATCAGATCCCGCGACCTGCGGGTCAGCAGCCGAGTACCTTAGCCACTAGACCACCGTGGCGGGGCGTCATTAAGCATCGCCGTCATCATTTCGAGCATAATCATTATCATTTCGTCTTATTTATTTCTTTGTTCGCTCACTCCCTTGGTCCTCTGACCTGTGTGACCCATACTACTATTACTTCTTCTTCATGATTGTCGGTACACATCATCTTCGAAATACTGGAAAGGGGCCGAGCGACTGCGTGATTATATACCAAAGCACAAACGCGCGGAGAGTTGGCAACCCTGGATACCGTGCGTGCAGATTCCGGTGTACCAGGGCTGCCGGCGGCCTCTGGTGACGTCCCCGATGAACGCGGCCTGCATCCACGGCAAGGACGGCTTGGGCGGCGCGTCGGAACGCTACCCGCTTCCCGCCGACGGCGCGTTCGAGCGTCAGAGCGAGCACGCGTCGCAGGCGCTCGTGTCGCTGGCGCGCAAGCACGCCGGCGCCGTCACGCTCGTGGCGCTCGCGCCGCTCACGAACCTGGCCGTGGCGAGCCGGCTGGACCCGGAGTTCTTCGCCAACCTCAAGCAGCTTGTCGTCATGGGCGGCACGTGCGACGGCAAGCGCACCCTCCCCTTCCTCGATAAAGGTTCCTTTCATAGGACGGTGGGATGGGATTCGAAAGTTGGCACGCGGTGCTTGGTAAGGATTTGGCAGCACAGCGAAACGGATGGCTGAAAAAAAAAGTGGAGCGGGAAACTGGAAGGAGCAGGGAAGTTAGAAGTTGCTGGTAAAAAAAGACACAGAGGATCCCTGATACGTTCGCCCAAGATGGCTTGCCCTTGTTGTTCTTGAGACGCAAATTGAGGGGCGTCTCATCATCTTCTTCTTCTTCCCAGTCGATGTAAAACCCCTCTTTAAGTCGATGTACTGATCCTCTCTCCCCGACGCAAGATTTCGTCTCCTGACGTCGTTTTGCAACATTGCCTCCAGGATGGGCCCATGTTTGCCCAAGCAACGATGTCACGTGATGCCGTCGTGATATGTGACGTCATAGTGGAGTCATGATGAGGCACAAACTCCGGCAATTTGTGACGTAATAGTGACGTCGTAAAGACGTTATTACCGATCACGTGACATTTTGCATAACTTGGGTTAACGCCGATGCCATCGACGGTATGGTATGTATGGAGAACTTTATTGAAGTCCTTGAGGATCAGTCCAGGACTGATGCTGGCTGCTACCACGTCGGGACAGAGAGGCAAGCCCCTCTGCCGCCACACGGGCCTTCTGGACAGCACTGAGTTGGTCCTCTAGCGCGTCACTGTGCAGTATTCGCTGCCAGCACTCTCACCTATTCGAGTTTTCGTCTTAAGACCACTATACTTCCAAGCGAGTCTTTACAATCTAAGTTGAGGAAACTGTCCCTCAGCGCGCACCGTGTGATCTCTCGGTGGTCGTTCTCTGTCGCTTTGCTGTTTCTTTTCGCAGTGATGAAGGTGATGCATGAAGATACTGTCACTATAACACGCTACAATGGAACGAAGGTCTATCCGAAAGGATGTTTCGTTTGCAAAGCGATAATAAACCGGCATAAATACTCGCAGGCATCGGGAACGTGACCGCTTCAGGCGAATTCAACTTCGTTTGTGACCCCGAAGCAGCCAGAGTCGTGCTCACCGAAGCCTGCGAGAAGATTCAGCTCGTTCCCTACGAAACGTGCATCAGGCACTACCTCGACTGGGTACGCACTGTTTTTCGCAGTGTTGCTGTTGTGTTAACACTATTTATTAGTGCCACGAACAACGAGGGACAGTGTCTCTTCCAATCACTTCAGGCCGAAGTACTTTTGGCTTTGCGAATATTATTAAAATGCGTTTTTTTTTTAAATTCTAATGTTACAGTACAAGGGGGCCAGGCATAGTCAAGCTGCTGTAAGGCAGATTTTTCCTGCAACCCCCTTTCTCCTTGCTGAGATGAAAATAAAATTTCATGTGATGCAGTTCAAGTTGATAATTATATTCGATGCAGGCAATATTGGAGCATACGGTTACTTAAGGACCAATTCATTTTCGGGGTAGTCAATGAAAATTAATTGAACGAGTTAACTGAAAGAGCACAATCTTTCCTTGCGAGCAGCTGAGATCGTTGCGCCATCTGGCGGAGCATATCTTAACCATGCGCTCTTTTCTACCCCCGAGATCCATTCCGATGGCGACGAAACATAATGTTAACCGAAGTAATACACCAGAGAACGCTAACGACGAATTGCGAGTGCCACTGCCAGACACCCAAGTCAAGGATTATTGTCGCCATCTACCTTTTCTTGCAGAAGAGTTTCTGTGGTCGAGTTTTGTTATACTCGCTAATGGAAGAAAGCATGGTTCGTTATCTATGCGTGAACCATAGAATAAGTCATCGAATTGTGATAGTTCCGAGTCATTACTGCGCTTCTCGTTGAAACACCAAAATAAGAACTTAGTAAATAAATAAATAAATAAAAATCCACACAAGCAACAAGATACTGAAAGCTTTGCTTCCCCGCATACACCATATTTTTCAGGAGAAGCCCACTCTTCGGTTTACACAGCCCATATTGGCTGGCTGCACCCAAGGCATAGTCGTCTGCCCGTGTGCGTGCTGAACGCTGTGACCTCTTGCACCTGAATGAAAGTATGGCCACGTATTACGCAGGACTGGTGCACCAACTGGGTCAACTTGAACACGCACAAGAGCCGCATGGTGCGCGACATCTCCGAGGGCATGATGAGGCGCTTCCGGGACACGCTCAAGCTGCCCGGTTTCTCCTGCTGCGACCTGCTGGCCATGGCCACCGCGGTGAACCCTGGCGTGGTGCTCAAGACCGAGGCGTACCCGGCATGGCTCGAACTGCACGGCACGAGCACACGTGGCACGCTCATCGTCGACAAGCGGCCCGGCATGAAAGGCGCCAAGCCCAACATACCCTTCGTGCTCCAGCTGGACACGAACGTGCTCAAAGAGATGTACACGCACATGGTGCGCTGACGATGGGCGCAGCCTGGTCGATAGGACGACGGCCATAAGCTGTCTTGTGGGAAGCTCCACCCCATTCGAGTGTCATCAGTACGCAGCCCAAAACTCAGCAAAACTTTGCACTAGTCTTTTGGTTTGCAATGGAACAGAAATAAAGATAGGGTTGTCCAGGACTTAAACCGCAGATACCAGGAAGATTTCATCGATATTCAGTAATTAAGTATACGTTATACAGGGGTCGGTACATATGCGATTCAGATGTCCGAGTGCATCAATAAGTGGGCTGGTTAATTAAAAGATAGTGAGTGAGTGAGGTGAGCGAGCACCCCTCAATTGAGCTTAAAGAGAGTACGCGAGCGAGCAGGCAATTAAACGAGCTCACGAGTGCGTGCGTAAACACTGTAGACCTTATACTATAGAGTGTAGAGAGATGCAGATAGCGCGAATGAAGAAAAGGAATGCTCTTGCCCTTCCCTGCTTCGATAATGAGCATTCCAGAATTTTCGCAGGATATGCCCTTTGTAAGGCTAGATGTATGTCATGCAAAAATTGAGTGCCCGATTACGAGATAACATGGTATTGCAGACCTCGAGCGCATTTTTACGAGTATGCATGAAATTATTCGGAAATCACCATATTTCAATTACCTGATAGCTCCTAGCGAAAAAATAAAGACAAAAAAGCGAGTGCAGCACAGCAACGGGTTGTCGAGATTGCTGGGTATCTGAAAGAGGTATGTGACCACCGTGCGGAGGCCGCATCAGACCTTTTTGAGATGCTATCATAATGAGCCATCACAACAATCGAACTCGATTCCTCTTCTAAAGAGGAAGTATGTCGAAACAATGCCATCGGTAATACGAACCTACCTCTATTAAAACAATATCGATTTCCGAAACAGGTCAGACATTACGACAAAGAAACGTACGAACTTTATACACCATATTACGTGGATATTTTGGCTTCCAGAAGGCTTTCCAGATTATAATGGAGGCTTGTAGATTAAGGTGTGCGTTTCGATACGTCGCATCACTCACTCATTCGCGTGCTGGAGCGTGGCCAGTTCACTTTTGTGGGAATGGGCTGGATACTACGGCCATAACAATACATTGCAGCATTTGAATCAAGTCTTTCCCAGTTGTCGAGTTCCACCATATTGTCGCGAGCAAAAACAAGATCTGCAGCCAGGAGTTCACCCGAACCGGAGCAACCAAAACGTTCTCTTCTTCTTCGTAGCCCAAAAACGGGTATGAGCCACAGCGGCTCGTTCATCAATGGTGGCATTACCCCCTCTCCCAAGAAGCATCGTCTCGATGCTGTACATGAAGGCAAAAAAAAAAAGAAAATGAGATGAAAATTACCATGCAAGCAAAATGAATGGCGTAAGGCGGAATAACATAGTTGGTCGTGGAGTCAAGAGTTAAATGAGAAATAAGAAAAATAGGAAAGAATGTAAGGGAGAGACGAATAAAGTCAGTCACTCTCTGGCGATTCACAGCGCGAAAAGTATGGTTTCAGCCGTGAAACGTGAACGACTTCAGTTCGCGGGGTGAAACGGGAACGTCTCGAAGTGCCTTCTGGGAGAACCTCATATGTGACGTCGCTGAGACGTCGTACGACCTTGTAAGGGCCGAAGTAGCGGCGAAGAAGCTTTTCTGAACGGCCACGTTGTCGGATAGGGGTGCACACCCAGACTTCATCACCGGGCTTGAAAATAACTTCACGGTGACGAAGATTGTAGCGGCGTGCGTCTGCGCTTTGGTGATGTTGAATACGGTGACGAGCAATTTGACGGGCCCCTTCTGCACACTGCGCGAATTTGGCGGCATCGGTGCGGTATGTTCCTAAGTTGTCGGGCAGGAGCATGGCGTCGAGCATCGTCGTGACCTCGCGACCGTGGACTAAGCGAAAAGGTGTGAAACCGGTACTTTCTTGAACAGCAGTATTATACGCAAAAGTTACGTAGGGAAGTATGACGTCCCAGTTTTTGTGATTGATGTCCACATATATTGACAGCATGTCTGCAATTGTCTTATTGAGTCGTTCAGTCAGCCCGTTTGCTTGCGGGTGGTAAGCCGTTGTTTTGCGATGTTCCGTGCCACTTAATCGCAAGACTTCCTGCAGCATCTCTGCGGTGAAAGCTGTCCCACGATCAGTTATGACGACAGCTGGAGCACCGTGACGTAAGACGATGCTGTTCACGAAAAATTGGGCGACATCTCCTGCGGTTGCTTTTGGAAGCGCCTTCGTTTCACAGTAGCGTGTTAAGTAGCCGGTAGCGACTACGATCCACCGGTTTCCAGACGAAGACGTGGGGAATGACCCCAGCAAGTCCATGCCAATCTGATGAAAGGGCGCCTTTGGTGGGCCTATTGGTTGCAGTAGTCCCGCTGGTCGTAAAGGTGGAACCTTACGTCGCTTACAGTCGCGACATGTGCGAACGTAATGCTTCACAGTCTTTGCGAGACGTGACCAGTAGTAGGAGCGTTGAATCCGTTGCCGCGTGCGCGTATAGCCGAGGTGTCCGGACGATGGCTCATCATGACACGCACGTAAAATGTCACCACGAAGCGTAGTTAGCGCAACAAGCAGATACATAGCTTGTGTAGGATGAAAGTTCTTTTTGTAAAGCACTCCATCGCGGAAACAAAAGCAGGATAGCGAGCGTGCAAAGCTTCGAGGAGGGTGGGAATTGCGTCCTTCCAGGTAGTCAATGAGCGGAATGAGCTCCGAGTCGTGACGCTGTTGCTCAGCTAAGCGGGTTGCTGATACGGCAGAAAGAAAAGTGTCGTCGTCTTCAAGGTCAGTGTTGGCATTTTCGACCGGTGCACGTGAGAGACAGTCGGCGTCGGTGTGTTTCCGCCCAGATTTGTGGACGATGGTGACATCGAAATCTTGTAGCCGAAGGCTCCATCGTGCTAGACGACCTGAGGGATCTTTGAGATTTGCGAGCCAACAAAGGGAATGGTGGTCGCTAACTACCCTGAATGGGCGGCCATACAAGTATGGGCGGAACTTTGTTATGGCCCAGACAACAGCGAGGCATTCCTTCTCGGTTGCAGAATAGTTTTTCTCCGCTGGGGATAACGTTCTGCTCGCATAAGCGATCACGCGCTCTACGCCATTATGCCACTGAACTAACACCGCTCCTAGTCCAACGTTGCTGGCGTCAGTGTGTAATTCCGTGTCAGCGCTTTCGTCAAAATGACCCAGTACAGGCGGAGCTTGGAGGAGGTTTCGGAGCGTGTTGAACGCATGACACTGATCGGGACCCCATACAAACGAGACACCGTCTTTTGTAAGCTTGTTGAGGGGTTCAGCAATCTTCGAAAAGTTTTTGACAAAGCGCCTGTAATACGCACAGAGCCCCAGAAATCGGCGTAGGTCGCGCTTATTTGTGGGCACGGGAAAGGCGGCAACAGCACGGGTTTTCTCCGGATCTGGGCGGATGCCGGCATGGCTCACAACGTGACCAAGGAACTTCAGTTCTTCATATCCAAAATGACATTTCTCGGGTTTGAGAGAAAGCCCCGCTGTTCTGATTGCCTGAAGTACTGCCTGAAGGCGTTGGACGTGTTGTTCAAACGTGTCTGCAAAGACCACGACGTCATCAAGGTAAACAAGACATGATTGCCATTTGAGCCCTGTGAGAACCGTATCAATCATTCTTTGGAAAGTATACCTGGCGCTGAGCATAGACCGAAAGGCAACACTTTAAACTCGTACAGGCCGTCGGGAGTAATAAACGCCGTCTTTTCGCGGTCGCGCTCATCCACTGCGATTTGCCAGTAGCCGCTACGTAAATCCATGGAAGAAAAATATTTAGCGCTGCGTATACGGTCCAATGAGTCATCTATCCGGGGTAGAGGATAAACGTCCTTTTTGGTGACCTTGTTCAGTTTACGGTAATCAACGCAAAAACGCAATGTACCGTCCTTCTTCCTTACTAGCACAACTGGCGAAGCCCATGGACTGGTTGATGGCTGTATGACGTCGTCCTGAAGCATCTGCTGGACTTGGTCACGTATAGCGTCTTGCTCTTTTTGCGACACCCTATAGGCGTGTTGTCGGATGGGTCTCGGTGGGTTCCGTGATGATACGGTGCTGAGCAAGTGGTGTCTGTTTAACCCTTGACGTAGTGGCAAAGCAGTCTTGAAATGAGCCGAGTAAACGCAAAAGGCTTTCTCGTTGAGACGAAGGTAGTCTCTCGTTTACGTCGAGAGTGCTCGTGAACGCCTCGTCAGGGTGGCCATTCGATGAAAATAAAGCTAACGTGGGCGAACCATCGGCATCGGCAAGTTCTTCACAATATGCAATGGCAGTGCGTCTCGTTAGGTGGCGATATTCGTCGCTGAAGTTCGTGACCAGCAGGTGAACATGCCTATTGCTAGGCTGAACGATTCCTCGGGCAACACAGATTTGTCGTGAAATAAGGAGAGACAAATTGGCCTCTGCAATTACCGCGTCAGACATGTCCTGTCCCAATTCCACTTCGACAAAGAGGCTGCTTCGAGGTGGGAGAGTCAGAGAATCGTCGGTAACACGAAGTGCTCTTTTCCGGAATTGTGTACTGTCAGTTGCAGCGCAAAAAGGATCCTCGAACGACACAAGTAATTCACGGAGGTCGATGACGGCGCCGTATTCACGAAGGAAGTCCATTCCTAGAATGACTGGCCGAGAGCACACGCGCAATACGAGGAAAGAGCCTGCAAATGTCGACGTACGTATACGAATGCGTGCCGTGCACATACCGGTAGGCATCACCAGATGGCCCCCTGCCGTGCGCAACTGCGGTCCTTGCCATGGTGTGGTAACCTTCCTCAGTTCAGATGCCAGTGCGGCGCTCATTACGGAATAGTCGGCCCCGGTGTCGACGAGGGCGTTGACAGCATGATTGTCGACGAAGACGGCGATTTCGGCAGAAACGATCTTTCTGCTGTCAGAGAACACTGCAGAACCGGAATGGTCCTTGTCTGGTCGTTGCGTCGAATGAGGGTCTTTTACAGTTCGCC